GTGTGTTGTGGTGTGCGTGGTGTGTGCTTGGGTATGCATGTGCTATGTGCATGGTGTAGCAGTGTGTATATCAGCGTGTGTATTTTTTGTCAAAGCTGTCGAGAGAGAGAGGTGCCGAGAGAGTGAGAGAGCTCTGCTAGAGAGAGAGAGCTGGGTTTGGTCTTCTGTGTGTATCGGTTTTTCAGCTTCAAAAAGATGCCTACACTGAAAGAGAGAGAGATGTTGATGATCGGTCTGTGTATCAGTGTGTGAATGGTGATGGGGAAATGAAGAGCGTATGTGATGGCAGCGGCGGTGTGGTGTGTGACGACAACGGTGGTATGGTGTGTGACGGCAACGGTGGCGTGTGTTGCCTCATGCGTGTGTGTGTTGAGTGTCTCTCGACTGTGTGTGTACCGTTGTAGCAGATAATGTTGGGACAGTTTACGAGGTCATGCCGGACCGATGTAGAAGCTAACTGGAATCAATATCGGGACAGTTTACGGGGTCATGTCGGACCGTTGTAAGAGCTAACCGGAATCAATGTCGGGACAGTTTACGGGGTCATGCCGGACCGTTGTAAAAGCTGACCGGAATCAATGTCGGGATAGTTTACGGGGTCATGTCGGACCGATGTAGAAGCTGACCAGAATCAATGTCAGGACAGTTTACGGGGTCATGCCGGACCGTTGTAGAAGCTGACCGGAATCAATGTCGGGACAGTTTACGGGGTCATGCCGGACCGATGTAGAAGACACTGTATGATTGTGTATATAGGCTGCCCAAAAGATATACATGTATATATATATCGAGCCGTCAAAAGTCACGCCCTCAAAAGGCGAGCCCACTGCATCAAAAGTCGTGCCCGATAGAAATCATCGAGCGACGAGCCATCAAAAGTCACGCCAGACACATGGCGATGCACGTGATCGACAGAGCGCGTGTCGTCCTCGTCGTCATGGTCTTTATAAACCGATGCGGAGGCTGTGCAAACCAAACGAGGCTGAAACATCTGAACATTTGCATTCTGAAACACTCTGCAACCAACCCTTTCTGACATTACCAGTCTGAAATCGCTGCTTTTCTGAAACACTTAGCAACCCAAAACATGGCCTCTTCTTCCCTTGGTCTGCTCACTCTCTTTCCAGACCTCAACGAGTCCACAAGAGAGATAACTGGTGCGGTTGCCCTGGAATCTCAACCAAGCGCCCCTGGGTTTGCTCCGTTGGCCTTTCCTATGCGGTCTGTGGAGCAAATAATGGCAGCGCAATCAAATATTGAGGCCAATCAGTATACATTGAAGTCAGGTGTGGAGACGATGACTACAGTCACAAACTTGTCGCACCGGCTTCAGAGTAGGACAAATGAGGTGCAGCAGTTAAACGCCCAACTGGCTCTGCTCCAGCGCATGTATAAGGATGCGCGAGCAGAGATATATGTGCTAAAAGCGGAAAACAAGGAGCTGAAGCGGAAGGCCACCGTGATGTTCCGATTTGGAGATCCGCCATATGCTGTAGTGGAGGAGCAGGGGGGAGTGAACGTGCTCGGTGGCGTGGGAAACACGGAGGCAACACCGTCAAGGGCCGTCCAGGACGGAGGCAAGAAGAAGAGACCGGCGGCAAAGTAGAGAAGGGATAAGGAAAAAAAAAATCCCGCCTGTGGGTGGGTGTTTGTGGGTTGGTGGGGTTGTGTGGGTTTTTTTTTTTTTTTTGTAACTCTCTGGTGAGAACGCGATGGAAGTAGATTCCTGAGATGAATCAAACAAGGTTTGGTGTGCAAATCTATATGGTATGAATGGAATTTGAAAAAGATTAAAAATAATGTGAAAGAAAAATAAAGAAAGAAATAATAAGAATATATTTGAAATCAAAACGAAAGAGTGAGGAAAGAAAGAAAGTGGTTCACGTGGTTTCGGGGCCCACGGTTTTGTTAAATCCAGGAATGGTGTTTGGAATATTTGTTTTTTTTTTTTTTGTTAATAATAATAATAATAATAATGTATTAATGGGGAAGAATGGACCATAGAGAGAGTGGGTGGAATAAAATTAAGGGAAATGATGGATATGATTAAAGTAGAGAAAAAAAGGGACCAGAGAGAGAGATTGTGCAACTTTCATACATAGACCCGAGAGAGATTAAAGTGCATTGGTTAGTGGGATCACGTGGGTAACTTTTTTTTTTTTTTTTTAATTGGTTTCGCAAAACCAAAAAGAGTGGCCCACGATTTTGTATATATATTATATATCTAATATATTTGTAACTTCAGTGGGTTTTTTTAATTGGAAAGAGAGTGAGGAAGATGGGTTTGGTGTAATGCTGTCTCTCTAATGCCGTGTGTGTGTGAATCTGTATGGATGGTGTGTGATGTATCGTGTGTGTGCCTAGATCGGCCATATAGAGAGAGATGGTCTTGGTCTTGGATTCGAGCTCTCTTAACAGCCACCTGAAGTTGCATCTATGATCTTCAACTACGGCGACCGACTTCAATCGTGGCTGGGTTCGCCTTCCGCTTCAGCTCCTTGTTTTCCGCTTTTAGCACACATATCTCTGCTCGCACATCCTTATATATGCGCTGGAGCAGAGCCAGTTGGGCGTTTAACTGCTGCACCTCATTTGTCCTACTCTGAAGCCGGTACGACAAGTTTGTGACTGCAGTCATCGTCTCCACACATGACTTCAATGTATACTGATTGGCCTCAATATCTTATTGTGCTGCCATTATTTGCTCCACAGACCGCATAGGAAAGGTCAACGGAGCAAACCCAGGGGCGCTTGGTTGAGGTTCCAGGGCAACCGCACCAGTTATCTCTCTTGTAGACTCGTTGAGGTCTGAAAAGAGAGTATATTAGTATATATATTAACAGAGGTTATCACTAGATTAATGTGGCTGTGATATGCTTATAATTAAAAGACAACTTTTTGTATTTTTTTTTTTTAAAGTGATTGGCTCACAATTTAGTAATTTGTATAGCATTACTCAAAAGGATAGATTTTTTGTGTTTTGTCCCCTTCTCTCATGTTCTTTTATACCAAATTCCCTTTCTATACATGATCTGACTTAATCGTGTAGATAAGAGAAAATTTGAGGGAGAAAATAAAAAAATAAAAAATACGAGTGATCCTCAACCCTCATTCAAAAAGGTAATGTAAGCTCAGACCGATGCTTCCCTCAAACAAAATTTTCACAAACTTTGAATTCTCACATAATAATAGTATGATTTAATATGAGATTCTCTGCCTCAAAATTTTTCTAATGTATTCCTAACTACGACATAATATTATGTGTAAACCAAAGTTCCTAACTGTTTGCCTGGTTCTACATCTTCATATTTCTAAATTTACGACCATGCATGTAACATTTAGATCAGCATATAGTGATACATTGTTCTGTGCTTACCATTTGCTACTTTCTTTCAATGGTGCAAATACCATTTATAGCCTTGCTGGCAATTTAAGCTCCAAAAAAATTGATTTAGTGCATAAATTATTGGGAGAAGTAGATAAACTTGAGTAATTTTACCAGGTAAACAGAATCGCGCGCTGCAAGAGCAGTGATGTCGGCACAGGAGACGACTCTGCCACACTCCTTGTGAACAAGCGCACGTAAGTCGTTGATAATCTCAAATGCGGTCGCCCTCAGACTTAGATTAGGTGGTGCTTCCTGCTCGCTCGGCCCGCTAGCTGATCCTTCAAGCAGCACTGAACCATCACATCCCTACCATATGCCATAAAATGGAGAAACATGAAAAGACCTTGCAATATCAAGTCACACAAAGTCCTAATAGCATGACTAAAAAAAGTAATAAATACCAAATTGATAATGTTATATATCAAGAAAAATTTTACAAAATGGTATTAGAATGCAATGTGGCAACTGCAAAGCTGCACATATTTATTCATATGTATTTTGTGTATCTTTTATGTGTTCGAAGCACACCTGGTATGGTTTTATGAAAATTCGCTATCGATATTGACTAGTGGGTTATTATAATACAATTGTTGAAAGGGGGAAAATGATCCATCCTCACAAAAATCTCCCACAAAAGCATTCTTTCATAAATTTTGACCGGTAAGAGTTTACCATTATAGAGTAAGTGAATAGACTGTTATCGGTCAGAATCTATGAAGAAGTACTTTTGTGGGGATGTAGCCGAACTACTGAGAGTGACAACACTGTTTGTATTAATACAGAAATTGATTTGTGCTATCATTTTCTATTTTTGAAAATAACCAAAAAAACTTGTTTGACTGTTTTTGAAAACTATTATAAAAATAATAATAATAAAATAAAATAAAATATTAAAAACACACACACAAAAGTTGATTTTGAATTTCAAAAATTAGTTTTGCACAAAAATAAAAATGATCTATTCCTGACTTTCATTATTTTTATTTTTGAAAACTAGAAAAAAAAAAAACTAAAAAAAAAAGGAAAAGAAAACACAACCAAAATGCCCTTAGATTTCAAATCTGAACATAACCATCATGTTTAGGCTTGTGAGGCTCACCCCGAGTCCCGTTTTGATAATTCAAATTATTTATTTAGTTGGATCTTTCTTATATACTGTTCATAAAAAAAATTAAATTGATAATCGTAATCATTTTATTTTACCGCATTTATTTTGAAAAAATAAATTATTTATTTTTAAAAACAGATTTATACTTATTTTTTTAGAAAAAAATGTGATAAAATAAAAATATTATGATTATCAGATCAACATAAGATTTTTTATAAATGAAATACACGAAAAATCATTTATAATGAACGGTTCGAATAATTAAACCAGAAGGGACTCTACAAACCCGAATATAACTCACGATCAAATTTAAATTTAAATTTAAGAGAACCTAACTCTTAAATGAAATAAACAACTGTTTTTGCAGTTTGGGGCTGTATTAACTTCCACCACATGGTTGAAATTGAATGGAAAATCAAAAAATAGACATTAAAAAAAAACAGAAAAAACAGGACAAAAAGGGCATGAATATACAATCATTTTTTAAAGGGGTATGTGTGTGTATGAGTATGAGTAGTCTTTTTATAAAGCTAAGAGAGAGAGAGAGATCTAACAAGAATGATCCATGAAATTAACATCACAACTAGCAGGTTTGATATGTTGATGATGAGTTACCTGAACAAAGCAGTCATGGAAGTGAACGCGAAGCAAGCCAGCAGCTTGGCCAATATCCTCCTTGAAAACCTTCTTGAGATGTTTTCTCACAATAGATTCCAACTTAGGACACTCAGATTCATAGAAACTCCATGAAAGTCCCTTCACTAAATGGTGATGTGAAGATGATGAATATGATGAACTGGCCTCTGATACACCAAACACAAATGATGAACAAGATGCCAACAAAAGCAGAGTGGCTAAAGAAACAGCTGAGAGGTTAAAAGCCATAGTTGATTTTTTTTTGTTATTCTCTAATGACTTGCTTGTACATGATATTTATAGCGATAAAGCTACCGACTTAAAGCCCACACTCAGAATTTATATTTAAAAAAAAGTAATATAATAGAATGTGATTCGGATTTAATTTTTGAATAATAAAATTTTTATAAAACAAATTTATAAAATATAATTTATTTGTTTTTTTATTAGAAAAATGTTTGGGAGCACTAATTAGTGCTCCCACTAATTAGGTGGCAGTGGGTCCCGCCATTAATGATGTAATGTTTTGGTCTTGGAGTTGTTTTTTTTTTTTTTTTTAACTTTTTTAATGCATTAGTGCTATTAGTGGTGATATTTTTAGTGGGATGAATCATTGTTGTTTTTATTAATATCTTTTTATGCACACAGATAAAAAGCCTGCTGTGCACACAGCACAGCAGTACCATTGTACGGTCTTGTGGACTTTTTTCAGGGTCGGTCTGTTTGATAATTCGAACCGTTCACAATTTAAAGTTTAATGAGTAGAATATATTTGTAAAAAATTAAATTAATCGGATGTCGTTAATCCTTTCATCCACACATATTTGTATTCATTTTAATATTTTAAATCACAATATCATTTATTTTTTAAGATGTAAGTATGAGTGGATAAAAAATTTAACGATATCCGATTAACTTAATTTTTTATAAGTATATTCTATTCGATGTATTTTAAAATATGAATAGTTCATATTATCAAAATGAATCCCAAAATAAGTTCATAAAGCTACGCAACAGTGTCTGTTCCAAATCCAAGGAACTAAGAAGACTTTTAGGCCCTGTTTGTTTCCAGAGATAGAATGGAGGGGATTGATAGTGAGGGGATTAATAGTGAAGGGATTGTTAGTGAGGAGATTGATAGTGAGGGGATTAGTAGTGAGGGGATTGATAGTGAGGGGATTAGTAGTGAAGAATTATTAAATTATTTTTATATAAAATAATAAAACAAATAAAACAAATAAAAAAATATAAAAAATTAAAAATTATATTTTAAAAAAAATTTCCCATATATAAAAAATAAAAAAAATAAAAAAATTTCTAATCCCCTCACTATTTTTCTAATACCATCTCTACCTCCTCCTTACCAATCCCCTCTCTAAGGGTATTAGTAATACCAAGGGACTAGTAGTCTCAAGGCCTTCTCCCAAAACAAACAAAGCTATTACTAATACCTTGGTATTAGCAATCTCAATACTCTCTCTTTCACCCAAAACAAACGAGGCCTTACTTGTTTCATTGATGAAAAGTCTATGCTCGAGTTTTGAACCATGGAATTCTAAGGTGTGTGGTGATCACACACCCTTACTTTTCTTTGGATTATGTGTATTTGAAGGAAAAAGAAAATTTGATTGCTTTTGGTCACAATTATTTATTTAAAAAGTTAAAAAAAAAAATAATTTGTGCTAAAACCTAGAGATTGTGAATGAAAAAGTAGGGTGATTACTAGCTTTTTATAAAATCAAAATTATAATAAATAAAAAATATTATTTTGACAATAGAACCTGTAATAGCACTAGTTATAGTTATATAGAGAGAGAGGTAGTGTGTTTATCCAAACAAGATAGGAGAAAATTACTACTTATTCTTCCTATAAGGGAAAATTACTTTTTATTCTTCTTCTTGAGCTTAATGTTGTGTTTGGTTGTGAATTTAAAAAGAGATTTGGAAAGAAAAGTAAAAAAGACAGGTAAAATATAAATAAAATATACCTGCATTTCACTTAATTTCACATCCTTTTTTTATTTTACTTTTCAAATATCTTCTTAAATTTCTCAACTAAATACAACGTAAGGAAACGATTCTATTCTCTTTTTTTGTTTTTCCACTGAATTTAACAAATTTTTTTCACTTGTCTGTTTTTTTCATGGATTTTCAAAGACTGTTAGGACAATCACGTGTTACAAATAGTTAATTACACAATTGCAACTCACCTAACAATGGGATCGCAAGTCTACATTGGAATACTTTTGTTACCACTCCCACCACGAAAGCTATCGAAAGTCTATCTCATGTACGATAAAGCATTTGTGGGCCCCTGCTGAGGGATGCTGCCTGTTGTGAGGTTCGTGGAAATTTGTTCATCATCTCAATCGTTTTATATTGTAAGAATTTTTTTTTTATTTAAAAAAATGTTATAAATTTTAAATTTTTTATTAAATAAATGATTCAATATTTTATATGAGTATAAATAAAAAATTAATATTTCTAGTATTATTTTTTTTAAATAAAATATTTTTTAAAAAAATATTAACTGAATATAGGTAATCTCATAACAAACCTTTTTTTTAAAAAGCATATGTTGTTGCTAAAAGTATATTTTTTGCCCATGCAAATTTGTGTCGCGAAAAGTGCCACACAATCATCCTATTTGAATGACTTTTACCAACGCAAGGTAAATTACCGACGATGGATGGAGGCTTTTAGCGACGACTATGTTCGTCGCTAAAGGCATTACTTTTACCAACGCAATCATAATTTCGTCGGCGAAAACTTTTGCCAACTCACTTTTGCCTACGGGTTGCCAACGTAGCTTTGTGTGTCGGCAAAACTTTTTGCCAACGAATTTTCCCTTTTAGCAACATATTTTGTTGCGTTGCGAAAAATGCAATTTCTTGTAGTGTCACCACCACCACTCACTCGCTACCACTCGCCACCGTCACTTACCCACCTATTACCACCACCACCCGCCACCACCCACCAACCGCCACAGTCACCCACCCACTCGCCATCACCACTCACCAGCCACCACCAGCCATCCGTCACCCACCTACCACCACCACCCACCACCCGCCGCCACTACCACCATCACCACCACCACCATCCACTCGCTACCACCCACCATCCGCCACCTCCACCACCACTACCACCACCTGCCACATACCCGCCACCACCCACAACCACCTGCCATCTGCCATTCGTCACCCACCTGCTACCACCACCCACTCGTTACTACCCACCACCCACCACCGTCACCCATCCACCCACTACCACTCGCTACCTACCACCCACCGTCACCACTTTCTACCACCGTCTTCTGCCACCACCCACCACCACCTGCTACCCACCACCCACCGTCACCACTTTCCACCACCATCTTCCGCCGCCACTTGCCACCACTTGCCATTTCTCACTATTTTTTATATTTTTAAATTTTTTTAAACATTTTGTCAATTACCAAACGCGTTTGTAGTTTATGGTTTTCTAAAAATAAACAAAAACCAGTTTATAAAATTTTTGTAAATATAAACTGAAAACGTAAACGTTACCAAACAGACCCTAAGTCTTTATGTGTCGTTTATTTATGAAAAAATTATATTATTAAAATAATGAATAAAAATTATACTGATAAAATATTATTAAAACCAAAAAATTATATTATTAAAAAATTATATTGATCTATATAATTTGATAATATTTGTTTTCAAAATAATGAATAGTATATTTTTAAATCATAATTGCTATCATTTTATTATAAAACATTATTATAAGACCAATTTAAATTTTTACATAATGATTTACACAACCAAAAAAAATTAAAACTAAACAAATCAAATTATCAAAGCAGGCCATGTAAACCAAAACACCAGAATGATTTTTTTTCTGAATTCTATTGCAAGGTCTAGAATATTAAATAAGGTAATGTTGGGGATACAAAATTTTCTACTAAATAAATTATCAAATGTCTCACATAGGTATGGAGTCTACTTTTTTGTAGATCTCATACTCATATGAGACATTTAATAATTCATTTAGTAAAAACTTCGGACCTATAACATTTTTCTATTAAATAAATCAATTCCAAACAAGCTTATATTTTTGTGTTCCTATTTATTGTACTGTCACTATCACTAGGATCAATTATAAGACAGGAGACAATCGAGTCCTTTAAACAAATAATGGTGGAAATAGGCTAATAACTAGTTCTATTTTTCATTAGGTGTGGCTCTCATTCAATTTGTGGTCGAATTAAAGGGTATTGTTGAATTCATAAGAGTCCATCACATATCTCGTTTCGGTAATTCGAACCGTTCAGTGTGTAGAATTCATCGAGTACTATATGCTTGTAAAAAATCACATTGATTTGATATTGATAACTATGTGATCGAATCAGTTTTGTATAATAAAAAAAAATAGACAGTGAAAAAATAAACGATTGACAGAAATCTAATTCGATGAGAGAGCTATCGATATCTTATCAACGTGATTTTTTACAGACATATAATACCCGACGAGTTCTACACATTGAACAGTTCGGTTTATCGAAACAAGACCCGTGATGGGTTCCCATGAGCCCAACAACACCAGACCTTTTTTATTATTAAAAGTCTATATATATATATATATATATTTTCAGTTAATTACCTAAAAGTCCTATTTACAAATATTATGGTAACTCAGGTCTTATTCAAGATTTTTTGAACCAATAAGTCTTATTTATTAAAACTGATAGTATTGTCAATTGTTTCTAATTTTTAAAACTAAAAATCCACATTATCATATTTTAATAATAAGTCTTCTTAATCATCCAGAGTGGGCTTCACTTTTCTTTTTTTTTATAATTAATATGAAATAAAATTTAAAAAGACCATTCCACCATCAGCATCATCATCCAACCATCCCTCTTCTGGCAAACCCTATCTCTATCTAATAAACCCTAACTTTATCTACTAAATCCTACAAACTCTAACTCTATCTAGCCCTCACCTTAACCAGCCACCCTAACTCTAATCTCGATGTTCATCGTTATATACTCTTCCATCCCCAACCATCATCACAGCCTCATTTCCTATCTCAGACCATCGTCATTGTTTCTTCTTCTATCTCTGATCATCACCGCATCACCTTTTCCCTTCTCAGACCATCGCCACCGCCATCGTCTCCTCTCCTGTCCCCAAACATCTTAAAATCCATATTATCAAATTGGGTAGTAAGTAAAGTATGATGAACTAATAAATGGAAGCTAATTGAGTAGTAAGTGGAGTCTGGTAAAGTGATAAG